CCCCTGACAAAGCTCCACGGACAAACGGTGGTTCCCAGTTGGGGCTGGTGCCCGTTCACTATTGCATCGCGTCTCCTAAATTCCTCCTGGGTTTTCCTATCGAGAGGCTGATGCCCTCCGGTGACTGGGTCAGAAGGATCAGACCGGCATCCATCAGGATAGGGCAGAGAGATTTCTCAATATTTTTTGATCAGTTGTTCTAATCTCCCAGTTTGCTGGGAAAGCTTTTAATCATACAGGATGGAATTATATGACGGGAGCGTTGGAGTAGTTCAGGTTTGGCACCGGCTTTATTAAAACAATGATGACTATTTGTGCAAGGCCAAACTTCTACATTTACTGATGGAACACCTTCCATCCGTCCTTCCTTCCATCCATCCTTTCTTCCCTCCTTCCATGGGTGCATTGGTCCATCCATCCATCCAACCATCCTTTCTTCATCATAAACGCACGGGATGACCGCTACTGACCCGGCCCAGATTTGCAACGAGTGCGTGATTTGCAAGTCTTTCCGGCCCATTTAACCTCCTCTCCCTCCTCCCTGCGCTCCATACCTGCCCTTCGCAGGAGCAGCCCCGAGACGAGGTGCCAGATGCGCTGTGCAATCCGAGGCTTGCCTCAGCGGGGACTAGGACCAGTTGTCCAAATGTCCTCCGCCTCTGCGATGTAACCCAAGACTGTCACGGAGGCTTCCTCCAGCTCTCAGCAAACTTGTGACGTGACCGGCTGACGCACTCCAAGGAAACCACGGAGGGGGACACATGACTCACAAAGGCTTGAGATTGCCAAAGTGCCTCTAGTGACATTACCGCGAAGCACGCAACAGGCACGACGGCATCTGGAGGGAGAAAGGCTAGCCTCCCGAGTCAAATACATTGCCGTGTCATCCGTTGTGTGGGCCGCAGATGAAGAGCGTACACCAAAGGAGGTTTGGTTTTAACCCCTGCGGTAGCCACGGACATTGTGGTAACGGTAATTCCAGGTTTGGTAACAGTGGGCGCACCACAGACGCTGAAAAAGTGTCTCCCTCGAGAAGCGATAAGGTGATGGATGGCTTCAGTTACTGTGACTACTCCCATTCTGATGTCTTTGCAGCGTTACGGCTGGCTGCTGCTTTTGGAAAGATTTTCCTTCTAACTCCCTCTTAAAAAAAGTCGGATATGTTGTGACCAGGGGAAGTATTAACACCAGTAACATTTGCACAAAAGCATAGCATTTCAGTGACTTTACAGTAAGCCTTACTTCAAAAAAGCACCATCCTTCCCAGAGCGCCAAGGGAGGAGTTGTTGCCGTTGCTTTCTAGGTCAGACAGCCCCAGGCTTGAAAGCAAGCAGCAGTTGTCCCTTGCCTGAATCCCAAGAGGCTGGAATGCGTTTTGGATAAAACAGACGGACTTGTGGGCAAGGACCCCACAGCAGGGTTACTGACAGGGCAGGTCTGGGATGGGGTAAGTTTGAAAATGACAGGGAGATGTCAAACGGAGCACCAGGGCAGCTGATGGGAGCTGGGGTTGCTCAGTCCTCCAGGGAGCTGCCAGCAAAAGCGTCGCAGGCAGAAAAACTGCACGGGGTACGCTGGTGGCCCCGAGGACATGCAGATGGCTGCGGTATCGGGTGGGTCTCCCCAGTACCGGTCTCTAGTCCCTGTCCCCGCCTGTTTCACGCACCTATTCTGCCGTGATGCCGTTTGGCACGGGCTTGGGAGAACCGCCCTGGCCGGAGCCTGTAACACTTGTGCGGGAGGCGAAGCTGTTTGGTAGGTAAGGCCGAGCCAGGGCAACCTGGGAGGCACACCGCAGGCGCTCTCACCGGCGGAAAGAGTTGCAGCCAAAGGTGACTCTGACAGTGGGCGGTGCGGGTGAGGAAGAGCTGCACCAGAGGGATGGAGGTGGTGCCAGCAGAAACCATGGAAAGAATGAGGGAGGTTCACTCGCTCTCCGAGACAAATTATTTGGGGTGTGTCATCAGGACCCGGCTGCGTGGCTGCTGGACTGGCAATCTACGTCCAGCCTGCACAAGCTGTTGAGGTGGCAGGCTGGTATGTGGCCCCAAGCTTTTCAGTTGCTTAATCGTGTGCAGGAGCGAGAAAAACACAGGGTCTGGACGGGCTGTTATGGGCTGGGAGTAAGATGAGCAACAGGATAGGTGGAGAAAGCCCAAGCCAAATCAAGACAGTCAGCTAAAATTTAAGACAGAGAGAAAAAAACAACCAAATCCTGCGCAGGCCTCAAAGTGGACTATTCCTCTTAGCTATGCCTGACCCAAAGAGCTAAAGGCATGATAAACCCCCGGCTGTCGCTGTCACTGCGAGTTAAAACTTCTGCAAGAGCAGGTCACGGACAGGCAGGGAAGCCTGAGGGGGAAACAAAGATGTGTCACCACGTAGCCTGACTGGGTCACAGCAAGAATGGAAGGAGGCCCCGAGAATCGATTTTTGCCCCATCTTCCCACCGGGAAAGGCTGCGCTAACAACAAGGCTGCGGCTGGGGTTGCCATTAGCTGTCACTGGTTACCCGGCAGGACAGGTTCCCGTGTGACAACAGGATTACAGGAGAAGGAGCGAGGAAGTGAAAAGCTGAAGAGCAGCTACTAAGGGCCCTGTGACACCGAGTTAACCCAGTTAACCGGGAATGACCAACGATCCCCTTCTAACTCAGCGCTCAAGGGAGACACAAAGGATCAGGCAGACCAGGGAAAAATTTGTACCGACCAGACCCATCTTAAACATCGGCTGACGCGCACTGAGGGCTGGATAAGGGCTGGTCTGTAGCACCGCCAAAAATGAGCACTTAAGTTACCTCAGAAGATGGCAGAAGGTAGCCACAGGCTACCTGCGCAGACCCAGCGCGTCGAGCGTAAACCCTAGAGGATAACCCTGTGTTTGAAAAAGATGGGCGAGATATCCCACGGTCAGATCAACACAGGCTGTTCTGTGAGGCACCTCAAGCCAAACAGCGAGAACCAGCTTGCCTGCAGCCGAAGGACACGCAGAGGGGGTCCCTTCTACCCCTACATCGCCATACCCGATAGGGAAGGTTTTCTCGTCTTTGGCCAGTGTCGCTTGGACAAGCTTTCCTCCTGAGAGGTGGCGACGAGCAAAGCACCGCTTACTTTGGCTGAGCAGGCCTGGGTCTTGATTGCGCTTTGTCTACCTGCAGGCCTGCGTCAGGCAGAAATGACGTTGCGGCTGCAACGTTCAAAAGCTGGTGGCACATCCGCCAGAGAAAGACCACGAGAGCAGCGTGTGCTAGAGGGTCTGTAGCGAATGCAGCAGGGCGAGCAGCACAAAAAGAAACCCAATCCCAGGCTGTTGCCTTGCAACCAGAGCTCACATGCAGCAGCCTGGAGCATCCGCGCTCTCCTGCTGTGCGCTGCTGGAGCCATCTGTCACGTGTAAGGTCGTCGTTGTTCTGCTAAGTAGACATCCCTTCTCCTCCTCACCTCATGCACTCCGCACCGGGGAAAGAAGGGCAATGAAAACTGGCAGATTCTGGGCAGAGCTATTTCATCACACCCCGGGTCTGCCTGACCACACCTTTGCTGGGGTTGGTGCTCGTCAGAGGAAAGATAGCAGGGAAAGTCAGTCCAAGTCAGGAAGCGAGTATCGGGCTGGGAAAGCAGCAGAGCTATCATTTCACATGACTCATCTTTTCCAAAGAAAGGGGAATAGGCCACACGGCGAGGGCAGAGCACTCAGGCAATCCTTTCCCACCTTGCCTCCCAGCCCCAACTGCAGGGACCCTCCGCGGGTCCTATCCACAGCCGCTGCGTTCTCCGGACAGGAGACCAACAGCTACGTTCCCAAAGACCACTGCTGGCCGAACGACTTGACACAGCCGGCCTCCTTCTGCCGGACTGCTCCGTGCGTGTGCGGACGAGCTCACGGGTTCCCTTTCGCGGTGGCTCACGGACAGGCTTTTTTCTACACGTTGATGCAAAGCAGATTTAAGCCCTGCTACCTACAAGCTCAGCTGAAAATTGTTACTGGACAACATATAGCAGGAAAGCAAGGAAAGTCACTTTTGAGAATAAGATCCCCCCTTTCGTTTGCTTGATCTCAAGACCATCTAATACAGGAGGGCAGTTTCAGGAGAGGGGGGACGCCGGTTTTTCATGAGAGGGGGAAAGAGCCAGTTTATTCCTCCACGGGGGCCTCTGGCTGACTGACAGCTTCTGAAAGAGCACTCTCGCTTTGTGGTGTCTCAGGTCCCACCACTCTTCCTTACAAAGATCCTGTTGCACCGGTCAAGAGATCACAGGTCTCGTATCCATAAACGCCAAGCAACGCAGGCCGACGCAGCTCGCACGGACCTCTGGCAAAGACCGGGAATGACAGAAAGGTAGTGCTTTTTCTCACATCTTCTCAAAGTATGGGAAGCGATGGGATTAACAGGGATGATTCACACGCTGCAAGAATCCTTCCTGTCCCCAGAGAGCCACGCTCGGGGTGCAGCTAAACCCAGCGGGCTATTCCATCATTATTTCAGGCCAACAAGATATCTAAGCCCAAACTCAAAAACTCTCCTTTCCCCTGCTCCCGGCTGTACAATAGGCACTACGGCAGAAACCCTATGGGGAGGACTCGAGTGCCGGTACTGGTTCTGAGGGAGCTTTCTTCCTGTAGCTACACTCGTACGCTGAGCTGCCACGTGCTACTGTGTTCGGCTGCAGAGATCGATCGACTTGTGCTGCCGCCTCCCTGCCGTAATCCAAAATACACCCAGCACAACCTTCCTGGGGGTATGGATGAGCCGAGATCCGTGCCGCTGTCACGCAGTGCACGTTGGACAGGCTGTGCTAGGAGCCGCGCTCTTTCTTCCTTTAAGTCTTCCTCCAATTACGCCAGCTAACAGCTACGTTCATCGGAACTGAGGTGCGTTTATACATATTATTAGCGATACGATGGTTTCTCCCTCCAAAAGTAGCTGCTGGGGCTTCAAACACCCTGCTCAGCCACGCCATGCCAAGTTTCACTTCAATCAAACCACACAGACATTTTGACTTTGTCTAGAACTTTTATTTCAAGCAGTAGAATTGTTTTCAGCATATTCACAAGAATAAATATAAAATTACTCTTCAGAGTAAGAAGATGAGTTTTTATAAAAATATATCTCTATCCCACAGAACCACTTAGGTAGGGTTCTCGTTAGGAAATATTATTTAATAAAAAAATAAAACACTGAAAATAAAATGCTTGACCTATACTGATTGGATCACCAAACAATTGAAATTTTTACAAGGATATAAATATTGTAAATATCGTTAATAAAAAATAACATTTAAATAGATGGAAAGCCACCGAGTCCATCCAGGTGAACAGAACACTGTAGGAAGCCACCGTTTCTTCTACAGGGCACCAACTTCCTTGTACGCTCTGGCGTTCGTTTGTCTCTTCTTGCTTCGGTACCTGGAAGCAGAGAAGTGAAGAGTGAGTTCTGGAAAGCCCGTAGTTCCAAATGGCTGTTTGGGGAGCGAAGGGAAGGGGCGGGGGGGGGGGGGGGGGTGAAGGAAAAAGAAAAAATGCTGTATGACCTCCTCACGTTTGTTTTAGACCTCTAGCAGCTAGGCTCTGTCTGTGCTCACTTCCAGGTCTGAGATAACTTGCACGCAGCGTCTCATTTCTCAACTCTTGACTGAAGATTTCACATCTGCATTAAAGTCTTGCTGCTGGTACTAGGTTTGTCTTTGAGAAATCCTGCTGGATCCTTCCCTGCAATAGGGCTGGATACCCTAACCAACTAGGCCATCTTCTGTTTGAGATGACGCGCCATCGGGTCTTCAGGTAGGCAAGAGGAATTACAGTGGTTACCATCTGGCTATCAGATGTCTGAGGCTGCGCTCTGCCTCTGGGAGTTGTTCCACCTTCTTGGCTCTCTGACAGCTTCCTGCTGCTTGCAGGTCTGTTAATGGAGAAGACTACTGTCCTCCACGGTAAAGCTGATAAGGCAACGCTCATGATATCACAGACACCACAATAACGTGGCAGATAAACAAATTAGCTAGTACTAATCCCGTTGCTCTCCAGTTCCTGATGACTCGGGAAATGGCATTACCAAGAAACGGAACTAGAATTTTCCTGTTCCCTGTTTGCTCTCTCCTTTACTTCAACATGCCCTCTAAGACAGACGTGAACTAACCTACACAGTCCTCCGTCAGGGTTAAAAAGCATCTGAAGGTACTGTTGCCTAGCCTGCAATTTGGGTTATGCTACGCAGTCAGCATACTTCCTTTTCTGACGCCTCACTAAGTGCAGGCTGGCAGGTCTGTATATCAAACCATCTCCATGCAGTCAAGCGAGCGTAGGTACCCGGGTCTACCTGGGGGTACTCAGCTGACATCTTACTACACACACAGCTGACTTGCCTTCCTGAGCCACAAAGAAAACCTTTCTTACCTTCTGCAGATGTAGCAGCTGGCAATAGAGACGGCGACGAGGAAAAGCAGAACTACGATCACTGTCAGTGCCACATACTCCTTACTGAGAGGTTGTCTGACAAGTTCTGAATGCACACATCGGACACCAGAGAAGCCGACGTCACACCTGAGGGTGAGAGACGCAGAATTAGAGACGTCACCGTGGGGTTACACTTTAGCAGTCCACAAAGCGTGCTACACTGCCGGTCTGCTGTTTCCTCAGGGGCAAGCAATTGGAACTGATGTAACTCAAGCCCATGCGGCCCTAGAAACGGTTGCAAATTTTTCAAGTAAACGAGGAATACCCTTAAAAATGCCTAGAGGGTCTTTATTTTGTAGGCTGGATCAAAGCAGAGACCTTGCTGCTTTGCCTGAAGTCTGGATCTCACGTGACTGTAAACACAGATGAACAGGGAAGCATATCAGAAGGAATGTCCCAAGTTTAAGTTGGGTTGGTGACTAATTTCAGGTGCCCAAGACTCTCACCCAGGTATCACGGGAGCCAGCACACGTGCTTAACACTTGCTTAAATGCAGCTGAGATGTATTAGAGATATCCTGCTCCTCTTTAAGTTCTCACGAGCATTTAAATACTTCGCTGGACTGGTGTTCCAGCTAAGCGTCGACAGCAGCGAGACCAAAGGCCACGTACAGTTCGTCTCAAAGCCCACCTCAGGGAGGTCTGCGGGACGCATCGCGCCCTGTCCGTACCTGCAATAGTGCTCATCCAAGTCCACTATGTACACGCACTGTCCATGGAAGCAGTAGTCTTTCATTTCAGGCTTGCATCTAGTTATCCCAACTTGAGCCACACGTGGACTGTTCTCTGTCTGGACTGCAAGGAGATTTTGTTAGCATCTCATCAACCTTATATTCCCTTTGTATTTCCCAAACAGCATACAAGCTTTAGAAGTACGACTAATATTCTCGCTACCAAGAAACCTCCCATGCAGCAGGCATTAAAGCAGGTGAACCTTCTGAACAGGGAGAGGATTTTCCCAGGCCAGAGCTATACTGACTTTTCCTTCGGGAGTTCCGCATAAGCTCTTTCTGCTTTTACAGCAGAGTTCTCACCTCAGACAGAGCGCTTCTGCTGAAGAAACAATACTAAAGGAAATGCAGGCTAAAAAATGGTTCTTGTTCAACAACGCTTTGCAGGACGTTGGCAATGTTGCTCAACCGAAAAATGATTTCCAAGGGCACCTCCGTGAGGCTGCCAGCCCAAGGAAGATGGGAACCACAGACGTGTTATTTACAGAGAGCTGTGCAGTACACTTACTTAGCGCCGTCGTGCAGTTCTCCATTTCACCAGGCTCACATAACGGGATCACTGTTGTGCCCAGGGCTGCCTGCAATAGGTAACCTATAAGAGAATAAAAAGAAGAGTCAGAACTAGGTGCTTTTCAAGTACAGTTAAGTATTTCAGCTGATGCACTCATTAAGTTAATACAAGAACAGCAGAAGCTTTTTATCTTAGTAGGAAAAATCCAGCGCTGTAAGCTGAAAAATATACATGTCCGAGAGATCTGCTGCCTATATTATGTAAGGCAGCCCAAAGAAACATCTCCGAAGTACAAACTTGTAACGTAGAACAGAGATTAAACAGAAACTCGGTGTCCGTGACCGCCTCTCACCCGCACTCGGAGTGAAACCGGGCAGGAACAGGCTTGGAGAGGTTACACAGGAGAGGCAGAAATTAGAGCCAGGCTCAGCGCCCCACCACTGCCTTCACAGGCCACACACTGCTCCTCCAGGTACGCTTAGCGCAAAAGCTGCTCTTGAGCAGCAAAGAGCTTCCCCAGCCGCCTGCTTGCTATAACCAGCCTGGAATGCTGGACAGTTCCTGCACTCATACTCACTCCGGCGGTGGAGTTTTTCAGCTAAAAGCCCACTTGCAAAGACAGCGAACGCGAGATACCGAACCCTCTCCATCTGGTCACCGGGTTGGAGAGGTTGCTGACCACTTTACGGATCCTGGGCCAGTGTTACTCATCTCAGCAGAACCCCAGAAGAAAACGGGTACATTTCTGCCCTTCCTTGACCAGCCCCACTAAAGGAAACTGCAGCTCCGCAGGTTTGATGTGGGGACCTGACAAAACAGGAGACTCCACCACGCAGGCTGAGCAGTTCGGCTACCAGAAGGGTGGCTGTGTTTCCTTGGGGAGCAAGGGCCCTCCTTCCCTCCTCTCAGAGATTCAGCTTATAAAGCATTTTGGCATCTTTCGGGCTGTACAGTGCTGCACAGGCACAGCTTGCAGGTATTGTACTAGATGAACGAACATTTCCAAACAGGATGTGAAGGCCGGCACAAGTGCTTGTAGCTTCATGGCTAGCCCGTGAGGAACAGTCAACATTTGCCCCAGCTGGCCATGAAATCCACTTGGCCAATACTCCTGCTGTGGTCACAAACTAACCTGCTCATGAACTGCTCAGTCATCAGCCCCATTCCACACAAGTCTGTAATTTGTGTCTTTGGGCTGTTTGCCTCTATTAACTTGTCAGGTCATGCATGTCTAATGGAGGGAGTGTACCTTCATAATTTCCTGATCACTCTAATTCCACTCTAGTTATTAGAAAGTTTCATTACATCTCGGAGTTAAATCTAGTCGTAATTTATGGACTTCCTGCAGCGCATCTATTTCTGGGTGACTAGTAGGCTTCCTTTAAGCTTTATTCCAGCTAGATGCAAGAACAGCAGGGGTATCCATCTTAGAGGGACGGGGGGGGGTTGCGTGTTCGTGTTTCTTGAAAACCACCACTCCTTCTTCTTACCTCCCTCTCCACCGCATTCCTCGCAAGGCTAATAAGCCAGGTTTCCACCAAGCTTTAGAAGAAAGGACAAAGACTCGGTCTGCCAAAGCGAGAGCCGCGGTAGCAGACCAATGATGCCGGCATCCTGACTTGTACAGGAAACTAAGCTGGAGACACCTGCACCTGCTAGCATGACTCAGCAGGACCTGCCTTTCCCTCCGATCGGGCAGGACCAGCAAGTTTACTTTCAGGGTGGGATTTTTCTTTTTTTTTCTTTTTTTCTTTTTTTCTGTTTTTTTTGAACAGCACCGTGCTCAGTATAGGTTTCATCAGGAGAAGCAATTTAACACTTCCGTACGGCCGACGCGAGTCGTCACGACAGAAAGTTAAAGTGTTTGAAGGATGAGGCCACCAGCTGACAGATGGTGGCAGCTCAGTTACTGCGAGAAGGGCAGGCTTTGAGCTTCAGCCAGGGACGCGGAGTCCCAACTGATGCTGGGAAAAGAAGATTTACCGAGTCAGTCCTTCTTCCCAGGAACTAGAGGGACATTTCAGGAGCGCCCCGTGGATTAAGCTGCTCCCTTGGCAGGGAGCAGCCGTGGCACAGGACAGCTCTGTCCCACGAAGAATGCACCACATCACTGCAAGAAGGGATGCTGAAATCCTGAGAGCAGTGAGAGTCAGCGGCCCGAGGCTCCCTCCCGTTCCCCACGTACTGCTGCTGTCATCTCTGTGCAACGCGCTATGGCAAGATTTGGTCTGGGGGCCACCTGACAGTAATGAATGTGCTAGAGGTACATGTACCTGTAGTACTCTCTTCTATTGTACTTAATTTAAGTAGATGAATTAAGCCAGCTGACGATCTCTTTTAGCCTATGTATTTCTGTTTCAGCTTGCATACTTCCTTTGCCTGAACGTAATCTGAGCAGTTGCTTTTTAACCTAAAGTTCTCAGTTCACGTGTCACCAGAACCTGGCTTTTTTCATTTGAGAAACTCAAACCGAGGTACATGAAAGAGACGGGTCAGCTCTTCTCTTCGCTCCAGGAGGCACCGCTTTCCAGCTAGAGGAAAGGCCAAAACTCAGACACCTGTGAGGGACAAATTAAAAATAACCTCCTCCTCCAACACCGCACAAAGCCTTGCCACGTACAACAACCGATAGCCTCCTCCGTCTGACTGCAGACACACAGGCCGGAAAGGCTGGAGTGCAGGCGTGGATATTTGCTGACACCCAGCACTATTTTCTGTGTTGGGGCAAAGTTCTTCCTGCCCTGCACTGTTACATTTTGCCCTTTCCCCCATGCACATATTTCTTCTCTGACATCAATGGGAGGGGGATGCTGCGGGAGGATAAGGGATCCACACGCCGCAATGGCAAAGGAGAGCCTTTCCCAGAATAATTATCAGATGATCTATGCCAAACACAGGACCTGGGAGAGGTAGTTACATTTTTATTCCTTCGCCGTTCGCTAAGCAAATATCCTACAGGGTACAAGATAACAGTAATGAGATGGTGGACGTTCACGTGTGCCTGGCAGGAATGCGAGCGCTACGCTTATTGCTACATCATTAGCATGCGCGCGCAGTCCCGTCTGGCGTTGCAGGTATTCCTGCAAGGTTAACACCGACAGCAGCGGCTGTTACTGGGACGGGGGGAGTGGCGCTGCTTACCCGTCCTTCCACGAAGGATGAAAGGAAAACGAGGGACAGAGACTGGCTGCCTTCGCTTCCTGCAGCCTTCATCAGAGATGACACGCAAGGGCTAATTATCAGTTCATCCGCTGACAGCCAGCTATAGTTGCCAGTTACAGGATGACTGCTAAGGATGAAGGATGCACGCACAGGATACAGGCAACTGAGAACTAGTCTCTGCAAGATTTACACCCGTTTTAAAGGGGAATGGTCAGGTTTCTGAGAGGTCAGTCATCATTTGAGTTGGCTCTGCCTGTCACCAAGATCACTAGTCTTGCACTAGTTCATCTGAAGAAGAGCCCATGATGCTCCTTGACATTTGGCACCTCTGTGGTCTCTCTGCCACAGCGGTAGCACCTGCACTTTTCAAGCGGGCTGCACTTTCAAAGCAATGCCAAGCGCAGAGGTGGCCAGGTGACAGGCACCTGGGCCATCTCAGCCCATTTTAACGCTAGAGACAGATCAAGGTGGACCCCCGTCAGCTGATTCTGGACACCCAGAGCGTGTCTGACCATTTAAGGCCTTCTTTGTGTAGAGGGCTTTGTGAGCATCGCCACTGCCACCATTTAACTCTAGTGCATCGCCTTCCGCATCTCTCCGCTGCTAACCTCCCCAGCTAGCCACAGAAGTTTGCAGGCCATCTCGGACAATGCAAGCACCGCTGGCGATAAAGGCTAGGTGGGTGGCTGTGTTTTAGATGAGGATCACAGAAATGTGGAGCTAGCCAGGAAGACCTTGCCAACAGCTCACTCTTATTCAAGATTTGGCTGTGCAACTACATCCCTTGCTCCCATCAACCACAGCATCTCTAGAGTTCAGGTTATCTATCCACGTAGGCTGAGCATTTTTCCTGGGAAAGGGGAAGCGGTCATTTGGGATAATTTTAGCCACCTCAGACAGAGCGCACCTCCGCACCCTTGCACTCAGGATACACCATCTGGCGGCTGCTTGCTGTTTTGGGCAGGACGTACCCGGTGCCTAGTTGCCTGACCGTGCCCATCGAGGCAGGTGCCCAACGCTCCTCTTCCCGAGATGAGACATACAAGATGTACAGGTTGCTCTTCTCACCCATGCGGAAGGAGATGCTATCAGCCCTTTCCACCCCTCACCCCGCTGTGGCCTACGTACATGTGGCTTATTCTCTAAACAGAGGTACCCGATGTGATGGTACTGAAAGAGAGAGAGGCCCAAATAAATTACCCTGAGGGCAACCGCACAGAAGCACCTATACACGTTTCTGGGAAGTAGTGTCCAGGTTTCCCCATCTCACGTTTTGTACCCGTGACTTCAGAACTGCCGACGCCAAGTCATGGATGGCCAGGGCCAGGCCAGAGCAGCTCTCGGGCAGCCCTGGAAACGCCAGCCCGTACGGGAAGACAATCGCTCCAAAATTGCTACAGGCCCACACGATCATCTTCAACACTGTGCCAGGACTTGCCCTTAAGCAGAGATAACGCAGATAATTACGTATTCTGTGCACCCAGCCATCTCAGTGCTGCTTCCAGCCCTGTGGAGACCTACACACCAGTGATGTTATTCACACGCTACCCCTGTGCCTGGGCCGCTCTGCTTCCACCGCACACGCGGGGGCAGAGGTCCCTACACCCCAGAAGAAGCAGAAATCTGTTATTGCTTCCAGGCAGACACATAAGCCGCTGACATCTTCCACATCTCCAGAGTCGGCGACCTTTATGTTCAGCCAACTTGCTGATGGTCAGACAAACGAGATGCAGGAAAACAGGAGGTCAGCAGCTCCTGGAACTGTCTGGTGAATCTGGAGATGCAAGGCCTGCCTTCCCCACTGAGCGGGCATTACAGCGACTGCAAGGAGACCGGTGCCAAGCCTCCTGCAGTAACTCACGGCAGATGCGGTGCCTGGGGCTTGGCTCCATCACCGTCACATCGCCGCGTGGCTGGCGCAGCACCGTGGCTCCGCAGGGGTGAGCGGCGGCTCTCCCCGACCGCCGCCCTTCTGCTGCGCAGTCACCGAGCCCACAAGAGCCGAGATCTGAAGCTAACGCTATCACTTCAGTTAGGCTTCAGCCGTTCCACAGGGAATCTCTTAACAGTCTGCATAATGCCAGCTGCAGACAGTCTTCCCAGCCTCTGCCAGTGCCACGGAGTTGTGCCTACACTACTGACCTGGGGAGGAAAGGCAGTAAAGTGCTCCTACCGCTTGTTATGATGCCACCTAGCTATGACTAACCTATCCCTTACTATTAGATTTTGTGCCTGCCCCAGAAATAAATAAATCCGTATAGAAATCCGTATCAGTTCTTTCCAGCAGCAGCTTTGTGCAAAGCACGGCTGAGTCACAGGCTACAAGATGTTTAGCCTGCTGTCCTGGCAAGTAAGGTGCTGTGCAGCCGCTGAGCCATAAGCTCTGATGGATATACCTAACCAAGATATGGAAATACCTAACCAAGGACAGAACCTCATGCTGCAGTGGGCTTAGCAGATGAGGGAATATCTGCCCCAAAAGAGAATTCTCAGGAACCGAGCTTCCCCATCGGCCAAGACCCCGAGCCCGACATTACGAGCGTGAGAATATGCTTTGCCATTAAAGCAGCGTGCGAGTGGGCCAGGTCTCGCTCCTGCCTCAGACGTTTGCTGCCCACGCAGTTCAAGTCAGCTCTCGGCAGTCACCGCCTGTCACTGCCAGCGCCCAGCGGAGGTGTGGGGCAAGGATCAGCGGCTGCTTCGCAGCACACCCAGGCTCCGGGACTCTCGATGCTGTAAGGATACACGTGTTCGCTTTGGACTTTCAAGTAGCTTATGTCATGCAATAGAGTAACACGCTCCCAGCCAAGAGGTGGAGAAGTGTCAAGCAGAGGGAAGCCACAACCTGTTTTGTTACTATAAGGAAGTCTCCGCTGCTGTGGAGATCCACCTGCTGAGCTCACCCAGAGCATGGCCTGGGTGAAGGCAGCAGGACCAGGCTGTAAACAACGCAGGAGAAGGTGAAAGAGAACAGATCGCATTGCCTTTTTTTAGGGACATGGTTTAGCGGTGGACTTGGCAGTGTCAGGTTTACGGTTGGACTCGATGATCTTAAAGGTCCTTCTCAACCTAAATGATTCTATGCCTTGAGCAGACTGTGCTGCGAGCAGAGTTGGGGAGAAGGAGAATGAACATTCACCTTCATCCCGTCGCAGGGCCCACCCGGGCATCGCGCGAGCAACAAAACGTCCCGTAACTGCAGAGCAAGACCTGCGTCGTGCTCTGCTCCTCAGCTCCCACAGGTACACCCATCCCTGCCCCTGCCTTCATCTCGCAGAAGAAACGCGCCGGCTTCACCCGAAGGCAAGCCGAGCTTTACGCCCCAGCCCCGCAACTCCGCGCCCGGCCCCCTCCCGGCCCCGTGGGAGCGGGGGGGGCAGCGGCCCGCACCACAGGTGGCCCGCCCCCGGAAGA